GGGGGCGCTTTTCAGTAATTGTCATCGAATTGTACCCGCAAACTACTCCTCCAGTTATAAATCATAATGAATGCAATAATAATATACTTGTTTCGCTACCTCAGAATTACACAGCTCTATCTGACACTTTTGGCTGTTTTGGGTCTCTACGACGATGGGGTCAGAAACATAAATATTCTATATCTGTTCTGTCAAAATCGTAATTTTATTCGGAGTCGTTAGCAAGATATTCAAAACATTGCATTCGGAAAAGCTTGACATGATGTGAAACTCAAAATCTTTAATGCCAAACTTCTCAAAACTGGGTAATTAGCAGATAGAACCATTTGAGGTACCGAATTGTAAATCTAACTAGCCCTTCCTTACCCGTCACAAAACTAACAGGGAATCTGTAAATCTCATTGAAATGATTCCACGCCATTGCCGCACCATACTGTCCTATCGTGAACAGATATGTGATATTGATTACAAATTTCGTCGCAACAAGCACATTGTGATCCTTTTCGGCACCCATTAATTAAAAAAAAACCCAGTCTGCCTGATCAGTTGACAAAAAAACAACAAAGTTGAATAATTTATAATCCATATAAAATACTGGCGCATGAAATAGTTCAAGAGGTTCAACCATCGCGACTTGTTTACCAAGTCATGTTTTAGGCATGGCACCGTCTGTGAAACTGCTAAGCTTTCGACTCTCTTTCGAGCAGTAATATTGCATACACCTAGCACAGTTTTGTTACAAGTGAGCTCTCATTGTTGCTTTATTATACAACGGTAACTTACTGCGACGCGTGTCAATAAAAACAATCAAATAAAACTGAACAACACTTATTGTTTTAATATGGTTAATTTGAATAAGATGATGAGTCTAACACGAATTTACTACCAAGATTTAAAGTTTAAAGTGCTTTGTTAAGGCATGGACATGTGTTTCAATTTCACCTTCTACTGTGCGTTTTAATTTCACCTTAGACTTTGTGTCCCGCAGTAGCTGTATGTTTTATAGCCAAAATTATGGTAAAAGCCAAAGGTTTTAGTTGTTTTTTAAAATGGCAGTTCAAAGACTATCGTTATAGTATGTGCACAAATGGAGAGACGACATAAAACAACAAATGCGACATAAAATATGAGTATTTCAGAAATAAAACATTATGTAGAAAAATACAATACTTTGGCCACTTCAAACGACGCGAGACAATTGTCAAAGAGGTGCTGGAAGAAAAGATGTGGGGCAGAAGAGCTAGAGCAAGGCAAAAAATAACATGGATGGACAACATAAGAACATGAATTGGCCTAGATATTGCAGAATGTGCAACGGAAGTGCGTGACCGTGACAGATGGGGGTTATTACACGTCAGCCTCTGAGTCAGAGATGACACCTCCAGGTATCCAGGTATTTCAGAAAAAAGGAGGCTATTCAGGCGCAAGGCAGTCTGGACGGACTTGCATTTGGTGTGTGCATTCCAGAATCAGGGTTGACGACACAAACTCTTTTAGTGATAGGCTCGATTTTGGATTGTCTTTTTTAAAGTAAGGTTTTACGGCGCTCGCAACTGCATACGGTCACATGAGCGCCAAGGGGTGGATGGCAACAGAGAAGTCTAAAAGAGGAATCAGGCTTACTCTGCTCACCTCTCTAGCCTCAACAGCACAAAGTCTGCTTCGACTATCAAGACACCCCGGTGTCGTAGAATATTTCGGAACCAGGATAAATCGGAACTGGTTCCCAAAAATCCTAGGATATTTCGGAACCATTCCCATTTATCCTGCACCTGGCGGCAGGATATTTGGGAACCTCCAGGATATTTCGGAACCACCATCATCCCTGTGTGATACGCAGTGTCTCACACTTCACTATCAAAGGAAACAGACAAATGGATAAAATTAAACATTTTTATTAGCAAGCTTGAGGGGAAAAAAAGAATAGTATTGTATTACGATACAATCTAAAAAAAAGTCTGTTACAAGCACCTCAAAATTACAGCTATCGAATATCTAGACCCCCTCTGCCATGGAAGACTTCAATATAATGATTCTATTAATCGCTGCCGCAGATACGTGACCGGTGAATTTGCGTACAGGCTTGATATGGACTCATAAAAAAATGCATATGTACTTTGACCTTTCACCAAATAGTTTACTATTTGCTCTCTTCTTCTAAGACGCAAGGGTGACATGTAGGTTCATTAACTACATGTATTATCCAAAAACAAGCATTGGACTAAACCACTTTTAAGCAGGGGGGGGATAGAAAACGCAAGACCATAAAGAATTCAACAAATTGATGCATTTTTGGTAATATTTTTCCACCATTTTTTAGACATACTATCAATGCTGCACAACTTAAAATGGTAATCTGGCCTAAATGAATGATAAAAAATATAAAGAAGAACAAAATTAAACAAGCTACTCAATAATTCATTTCCTCTTTGTCTTTCGGTCTGAATAAATGTAGGTCTACTAGGCCTACTAATGAAAGCAATTATAATTGCACATTGTCAGATTATTGTCATACTTTTCCTCGC